ATTGTGATCTCTCAAATTACTGGCAAGCTCTTCGGAAAATCCGTAAACTTGCGAAGCATCGATGTAAGACGTCAACTGGTTAATCTGTTCTCTAGGCTGAATGGCATCGAAGAAAACAGAAGTCATGCCAGATCCGCAAATGGACGATGTCCGTGTAAAATCTATGCATCTCCTATTTGTTACCCTGGGGTCATTGGGAGGTACTTCCATGGGGTAGCAAGGGGCTGCGTAGTCGCAGGATTTTTTGCAGTCTATTCCATCCCAACTTTCGGAAGTAACTGAGGGTAAAGAGTGGTCTAGATCGTGATCTAGGAATTGGCCCCATTGCATAACCTAAATAATAAAAACTATGAGGTAATAAGGAATTAAATTTGTTTAATGGGGTACCTACAATAAGTCTGGAGCTTCGGTACTAATGGGCTTTGAACCATATCCAAACTCAAATAAAAATAATGTGATATCCCCCACATATAGCATGGAGGAAAGGATTAAAAGAACATTAGAGCTCATCAGAACGGAGGCCAAAAACGGATAGAAAACTAAATAATTATTGAATTTGGGAATGATAATTAAAGATTATTTTATGTTTATTAACAGAATGTGATGCTCCACTTTTAGCAAGAGTTTTATAAACTTTCCATAGAAAAGTATGTTCAATCAAAATTTTATCTAAGGGCAACGTTTATGTAAGACCCGTTTCCAAAGTAGCATAACTTCCAGTTGCTGATAATCTAGACTATTCTTTATCTTCTTCCATGCTCGATTTTTTTTACCAATCGCATTGTTCAGCGTTGCTGACTGGGTATAAATACAGAGTGGAGTGAAGCGTGAAGCCATCTACACAGTTTTAAATGGGTCAAGCAATTTATACATCGAGTACGTGATCACTTTTTTAGACTAATCGCTTTAATGTCATATACTAGTAAAAAACTATAAAGAATTAATTGCTTACCATATGCGTTATTTCTGGATCAGACGTAATTTTCTTTGTGGTTATCAAACTAGTAGAAACCAGCCTAGAAATTGGTTTAGGAAAACCAAAATACTTCTTTTCCTTGTCCCATCCTACCGGTTTTGTGAGACCGTCTTCGTAAATAGGTTTCAAAACTCGTCTGAATCCAGTTAGAGATGCTCCCCACGTTGGGTGTTGCAAGTTGTTACAGGTTCCGTCGATGGAACGATATTTCGAATGGAAACACATATTTGAACAATTTCGCAACAGTCTATGTGAAGTGCAACCTATAAAAAATAGAGTATTTAAGATTGATTGGGAATGTTCAAAGAATGGATGGTTAATTTATTGAAGTTAAGTATTTTTTACTGTTCACAGCTTATTTAAAAAGAAAACAAAATTATCACAAGTCATGACAATGTTAAAGGTTTGGTAACCCAAACTTATACAGATAACAACACAACTTGATTTATTTTCACAAAAAAAACTTCTTACATTTTATCGCTAAAAAGTGACAGGTTTCATTTAATAAAGTCAAACATACGGGATGAATCCTAAGTTATCTTTAACTTAAAAAAAAAAAACTCAAAAATAAGAAACTATTTATTCCAAAATTTATCTAATATGGTCCGGTATAACTGTATAAATTTCGTCGAAAAATGTTTATTGCATTCATGTTCTGTACGAACCATTCACAAAAATTAACTTTGCAGGGGAAATGTTCAAGTTGAATGTGAAAGGAATACAATTGATTTTCCCGCAGTTGTTCTCAGTTTGTAAAGGTGTTTTTCTATACCCCTGTACTTGGACGGTTACTCGGGCGCCAGACTATTTGAAGTGGTTTGAGGCGACGTCAAAAGTACTCGGGTAACTGCAGATGGAGATCAAAAATTCCAGAGGTCACGTTGTTTATTTATAATAACCTTCCTGAACTGAGGGTACAAACAACTAGCTTTAATAGCTGAAATAAAAGGGAAAACTTCAGGACGGACACAGTTTAATAACCGCAATAAGGTGCCAGTTGTTTTAATTAAATTAATCTACTGCTTACGAAAGTTTAATAGTTGTATCTCAACGTCCATCCTTTATGGAAATATGAAACCCTGAACAAAAATAACAAAATAGAACAAGTTTGGCAGTGGTTGAATATTATGGAACCTCAATCAGACGATATCGGGCTATTTCAAGAAAAGAAATATAGGGGAAAACGGTACAGCTTAAGGTTTAACGAGTGTTTGACTAGTAAGACGGAATTTGGATTAATAACATCACTTTAATACTAAGCGAATGCGAAACGGTGGAAATAAGCGTCAATTATTAATATACCATACACAGTTCCCGGCTCGGTACTCACGGAATATGTCAGTTAAGTATAGAAAATGCGTAGGAAACACGTATTAACATGTAATTACTTGATATGAGGCGGCATGCGGTCCCTACCAAGTCATTCAAGAAAATAAATGTTATTTAAAGAGCTCCGGTTGAGTCTACTGACCTACTAACTGAAATCAGGCCACTGCATTACAATCTTCGTGATTAATTTTCGTTTTCGTAAGAAAGCCGAAAAACAGATGAACAATATTAATTCGTTTAATTTTTCATACACAAGTTCAGATCCGGCTTCTTGATTATATTGCAAAAGTAGCTTAACTTCTGGAAACAAAACCATTTTGATACACTTTCGTTTTTATTTTGTGTCCCATAAATATTCACATTAGTTTCTAATGATACTGACATTCTACTTTAAGAGAAGCGTAGGAATGAAATAGTGGAAATCATTTCGGCTTTCTCTTTAAACGATCTATTTCAACCATAATGATAAGTCAATGGCGGGAAACATTTCATTTTTTTACTTTGACAGTTTAAGAATGAATAAAATTTTACCAGATAGTCTAGCAATGAGGTCCAAATGTTCTGCAGACAAAAGTTCTTTATAGTTAAAATCGGCTGTTGGGTTTAGAGTCAAATTTCCCTTTTCCACATATTTTCTAATGTTTGTTAATGTTCTTTCATAAACTTCCGAAGCTCTGGCCAACTCTCTAGCAGGTGCATCGGGGTACCTTGAAATCAAGTTTAATAATTATTTATAAATAGCTGTTAAATTAAGAAAACATGAAAATATATTTTATTATATTACATAAGTTTGGTACAATACCTGATGATTCTAAAAAGTTCAGCTGGGTTATGCGATCCTTTTTTATTTATAATATTATCCAAGGTTCTGTTTATAGCACGATCCACCTCCTCTGTAGCTTCAGCAAAAGCAAGTTTAACGTATTGATCTCCAATACCAATACCTAGAAATTTTATAAAATATGTAAATTAAGACTTCAGATTTGAGGAATGTACAACCAAACTAAAAAAGGCTAGATTATTATACATATAGGCCCAGTTATATACTCAAAATCTCAGTAAGAACTTGGACAGCTCTGTTGAGAAGTGTCCACAATGTCTCGATGACATTTTTTCTTTGAATTATTTTAATCCACACTTTAGTTTTCGCATCTCTAACCGATATAATCTCCTTTTTTTCATTACATCTACCTTTAGAGAGGTTCGTACATGAAAACTTTTTTAAGAAAGTAGATATCATGTCTATTATAGTACCGGAATTTCTATGAATTTATATAAATTTATATGAATTTATATGAATTTATATGAATTTATATGAATTTATATGAATTTATATGAATTTATATGAATTTATATGAATTTATATGAATTTATATGAATTTATATGAATTTATATGAATTTATATGAATTTATATGAATTTATATGAATTTATATGAATTTATATGAATTTATATGAATTTATATGAATTTATATGAATTTATATGAATTTATATGAATTTATATGAATTTATATGAATTTATATGAATTTATATGAATTTATATGAATTTATATGAATTTATATGAATTTATATGAATTTATATGAATTTAAATGAATTTATATGAATTTCTACGAATTTTTTTATTAATTTTCACTTTGTGGGAATTGAGGTTTATCTACATTTTCACGTTTCCAAAATGCATAAATTGGATGAATATTAAAAACAGGCAATAACTGCATCCGTATCGTGATTTTCAATATAGGCCGAAATCGTCATAAAATAAAAGAAAGCAAGCTCAAAGTCGTGACTACAGAAGATGTCGACTTCGATTACTTTTTTGAAAGTTGGTTTTGTAATATTTTTTTATTTGTAAAGACAATATTATAAATAATATTGATAGTTTCACCTTTAATTCTTACCTACAGGATCCGTTAATTTTTTGACAGTGACGGTGACGTAACCAGCAGCAGAATCTCGTCCGTAATCATTCAAAGCCGTACATTCGTACCTGCCTTGATCTTCAGGACCAACTTTGTAAATATAAAGATTTCCATTTAAGGACACTTTAAATCTTCCTGTTCTCTGCATACTTGATCCATCTTTCTGCCACGTAATGCCAGGTTTAGGATCTCCGGTTGCTCTGCAGGGCATTTCGATAGTACTACCTAAAAAAAATATTATATCTTGCACAACTAGATAATATACAGATAC